GCGCCGCACTGTCGGAGGGTCAGCGCTGAGGGGGCGCCGCACTGTCGGAGGGTCAGCGCTGAGGGGGCGCCGCACTGTCGGAGGGTCAGCACTGAGGGGAGCGCCGCACTGTCAGAAGGTCAGCGCTGAGGGGAGCGGGGTTGTAGTCTCTGATGGAGGGGGGGGGGTGGGGAGTGGAGGGGAGGGTGCGGACCTGTACTGCGGTTTGCAGGGGTTCCTCTCCACATCCAGCAGCTCAGCGATGACCCCGGGCTCCTCCAGCCCCTGCCCGATAAGCAGCAGCACCGCGGCCATGCACCGCACCTGGTGGTAGAGAAAGGCCTGGCCTCGCACCTCGAACCGGCACATGCCATAGGCCGAAGGCCCGGCCCCGGGAGCGGCTTGGCCCTCCCCAGGCAGCACCTCCACCCTCGCCCTCAGCACCGTGCGCCGGAAGCTGGTCACGCCGTTGGCCACGTCCATCTTGCACAGGTTGCGGAAGTCATGTGTGCCCTCGAAGAGGCGGGCGGCCTGGTCCATGGGGCCCAGCGCCAGGCCAGCGCCCGGGAAGTAGTAGTGGTAGGTGCGGTGCAGGCAGCTGAAGCGGGCGCTGAAGTCTGGGCCCACAGGGGCCCAGGCCAGTGCCCGGATATCAGCGGGCAGCACCCGGTTTAGCATGTGGGTGTATCGCAGCTCCTCCGCCCGGTCCCCGGCCTCCTCCGGCCCGTCACCGCCAGCTTCCCCTCGCCACTTCGACCGTAGGTCCAGGGAGATCACCTGGAGGGCGGGGGGAGAGAGAGAGAGAGAGAGGGACAGAGTGAGAGAGACAGGACAGAGAGAGAGACAGGACAGAGAGAGGGACAGAGAGAGAGAGGCAGAAACAGGACAGAGAGAGAGCGAGAGACAGGACAGAGAGAGAGAGGGACAGGACATAGAGAGAGAGACAGAGAGGGACAGAGAGAGAGACAGGACAGACAGCGAGAGAGGGAGGGACAGAGAGAGGGAGGGACAGAGAGAGGGAGGGACAGAGAGAGGGAGGGAGGGAGGGAGGGACAGGACATAGAGAGCGAGAGAGAGACAGAGAGGGACAGAAAGAGAGAGACAGGACAGACAGCGAGAGAGAGAGGGACAGAGAGAGAGAGGCGGGACAGAGAGAGCGAGAGAGAGACAGGACAGAGTGCGAGAGAAATACAGGACAGAGAGCGAGAGAGAGACAGGACAGACAGCGAGAGAGAGACAGACAGGACAGAGAGCAAGAGAGAGAGACAGGACAGAGAGCAAGAGAGAGAGAGACAGGACAGAGAGAGAGACCAGACAGAGAGCGAGACAGGACAGAGAGCGAGAGTGAGACAGGACAGAGAGCAAGAGAGGGACAGGAGAGAGAGACAGGACAGAGAGAGAGTGACAGGACAGAGAGCGAGAGACACGACAGAGAGCGAGAGAGAGACAGGACAGAGAGCAAGAGAGAGACAGGACAGAGAGCGAGAGACAGGACAAAGACAGAGAGAGAGAGAGACAGGACAGAGAGAGAGAGAGAGAGACAGGACAGAGAGAGAGAGAGACAGGACAGAAAGCGAGAGACAGGACAGAAAGCGAGAGACAGGACAGAAAGCGAGAGAGAGACAGGACAGAGAGCGAGAGAGAGGACAGAGAGCAGGAGATAGAGAGAGAGAGACAGGACAGACAAACAGACAAAATGAGAGAGGGTTATGATCAACAGACGTGCCAGCAGAAGTTAGGTAGTCAAGCCCATCAAATCTGCGCTGCCATTCAATCCTGCTCTGATCACCCTCAAATCGGCTTTCCTGCCCAACTCTCCCATCACCCTCCATTCCCTTCCCGATTAAAAATTTCTGTCTCTCTCGGCCTTGGATATACTGAATGACCCAGCCCCCTCTGTAGTAAAGAATCCCACAAACTCGCTCCCCTCAGAGAGACAGAATCCCTCCCCATCTCCATCTTCGATGGGGCGACCCCCTTATTCTGAGATGATGCCCCCTCTGGGTCCCAGACTCTCACACAAGGGGGTGACCTCTCCCCATCTCCCCGTCATGTTCCCCCCCGCCGCAAGGGAATCTTCAATCAGGTCGCTTCTCATCCTTCCAAGTGAGCACAGTTCCCGATCTCTCCCTCCATGAGACGAACCCCCGCCCCCGGGATCAGCTCTGGACTCTCTCCGATTTCCTTCCATAAGGGAGACCGAAACACACTGAGGGTGTTCCCAAGGACAGACCCGAGCCAGGGAGCCCACGGTCTAAAGGAGACGGGGAGAGAGGCTAGAATGAGGAGAAAGGTCTTCGCCCTGGGGTGCAGGGGGGAAGCCTGGAGAATTCTCTGCCACAAAAAGCAGCAGGGTCGGAACACCGAAGGGGTTAGATCGAGGGTCAAGGACGAAAGGGAGAAAGTGGGAACGTTGGAACATCTGCCCATCGATCCCAGCCCCCCACTTCAGCGAAAACAAAGGCTCCCTTGGCGCCCTCTCGACTGGGCACAGATACCCCAGTCAGACACCTATAGACGGTGCGAGCCGGAGGCGTCCCAGCTCCGACATTCACAAAGGCCGGGAGAGCGTGACGTTTGGCTCTCTGCTCCCTCTGTCGTACACCCCACCCTCTAATGGCCACCGTCCCACTGCAGGGTTCAGAGTCGCGCAGCACGGAGACTGACCCTTCGGCCCATCCAAAATCCCAAACTAAACCAGTCCCACACCAGCCCGCTCCCGGCCCACATCCCCTCCGATCCTTTCCCTATTCGTGTAGTACCTATCCAAATGTCTTTTAAACATTGTAACTGTACCCACATCCACCACTTCCTCAGAAAGCTCATCCCACACACACAGTGTAAAAAAAAGTTGCCCCTCATGTCTTTTTCAAATCTCTCTCCTCTCGCCTTAAAAAAATACCCCCTCGCCTTCAAATCCCCCTGTCCTGGGGGGGAAAAGACGTCTGCCATTCACCCTATCCATACCCCCTAATGGTTTTATAAACCTCTATAACATCCCCACTCCTACGCTCCAGTGAAAACAGCCCCCAGCCTCTTCCTTATAACTCACACCCTCCGTACCCAGCAACATCCTGGTAAATCTCTCCCGAACCCCTCTCCAGTTTAATAATATCCTTCCTACAACAGAACTGGGACACAGTGGCTCCAGAAGGGGCCTCACCAACGCCCCTGTACAACCTCAACGTGATGTCCCCGACTCCTACACTCAAAGCTCTGAGCGATAAAGGCGAGCGTGCTAACCACCTTCTTCACCCCACTGTGACGCAAACGTCAAAGAATTATGTCCCTGAGCCCCCTAGGATTCTCTGTTCTACAACACTACCCAGCGCCCTACCTTTAAGTGTTGTAAGTCCTGCCCTGTTTTGTTAAAATAAGCCTCGCATTTATCCAAATTAAACTCCATCTGCCACCCCTCAAGCCCATTGGCCCAAGATGCCCTTGTGATCTTGGATAACCACCTTCGCTATCCACTATAACGCCAATCCTGGTGACATCCGCAAACATTACTAACCGCACTTTCTATATTTGTCAATGATACAAATGGTCCGGATGAGAAATCATTTCTCCCGTGTGTGTGTGTGTGTGTGTAGGGGGGGGCGTATAATAAGGGAAGGATATAGGATAAGTGTGAGGTGACACAATTTGGGGGGGGTTATAATAAGGGAAGGATATAGGATAAGTGTGAGGCGACACAATTTGGGGGGGTTATAATAAGGGAAGGATATAGGATAAGTGTAAGGCGACACAATGTGGGGGGTTATAATAAGGGAAGGATATAGGATAAGTGCGAGGCGACACAATGTGGGGGGTGGTGTGTGTGTATAAATCAGGGAAGGATGTATACAGTGACTGGTGGGTCCCTGGGCATAACTGAGGAGCTAAGAGTGTACAGGTCCATAGATCCCCCTGAAGGGGTAAACACAGGCTGGTGACTGAGGCACGCTTCCCTTCATTAGCCGGGGTTGGCAGGGGGAATACAGGATGGGGGGAAGCCTTGTTCCCACTTTGCGGAACGTCGATG